TATATATATATATATATATATATATATATATATATATATATATAAACATACATATATATATAGATATTTATATATATATAAAAACAACATGGACTCAATCGCGCACGAACTAAAATTTTGCTCAATAATACACAACAACATAGACTCAATCGAGCACGTGTGGCAGGGACGTCGAAGTCACCGGCAACATAACGGTAAGTAAGTAGGTTGTGTTGTGTGTGGGTTCATGGTCAAGCACGCAAACCCCAAGCCCCGGAACACAGGTTCTAATACTCGAGCACTCTGGACCCTAGACAGGGATGTACTGACAGCATACCGGCATCATCATGTTGTATAAGTAAGCCGTACTGAGTGTGGTCCCGTTGTCCAGCACACTCGCGGTGATTTCATAGTCCTGCGGCTGTGCGTTTACACTGTCAAGTGATTCGTTCCTCAGAGAGAGCTTGGTGTCCAGGACTTGCTTGGTCTGTGGGCCTACGGCACCCGCAACAGTCCGGTACCTCGCTCCTATTGTAATGTTCTCTCCCACTCTGTATACGCCCGTGGCTGCAGTGTCACACAAAGGTAGGAGAGTATCACGTTACCGGAATTGTTCACCTTTGCGTCCGAGGTTTTAGAAAAGAAGAACCTATTCACACAAGTCTTACCCGGATCAGCGTGGTGCGTGTAAGTAGATAGGCAGCATACGTGCTTATGCTCACAGAATGCTGACTGATACTACTCGAAATAATCATTATCGGCTTCAATCGCGCATGAAACAGAACTTAACGGGCCCAGAACTAAACAGGCCGGGCGACTGCTAGGACCAAAACACGAAAAGCTCAAACTTTGTTGGATTTCACTTTTTATGGCATTGACCTATTCGCTGTGGGTTACAAACAATCGAGGTGCAGCAGTCGAGCAAGTGCAAGAAACTCCAGTACCACGAGCATCTCAGAATATTCATGGAACGAAAATGGCACAAATGGCGATATAGGAATATGGAAATGCATAGTATACCTCATCCAGGCTTGTGTGAGTATATGATACATACCGTTTATTTTGTGCGACGGATTGAGAGCGTCGATCTCGAAGTTGAAAGCGTATTGATGTGTACGCAATGCTGCGCCGCCGAAGAGACCCACTTCGGCAGTATCTAAATTTGTAATGCCTCGGACGTAGCAGTTGCTCTCCTTTGTGCCCATTCTGTGTACAGTACCAAGTTGATATAATCTCTATCAGATAACTATGAATATGAGACTAGTAGAAATATTGTCGTCACGGGAGGGAAATTCTGGGCACGATGTGATATGGAAAGTACCGATCGAGAACATCAGACTACAGAAGGCTCTTGGCGGATACATGAAGCAGATTCAGTCTGAGAGCACCCCTGGGGTCAGTTGTACCTATTTGGACAAAATGTCGCGTACGGCAGCGAGCAGCGGGGTTGTTTCCCTTTTAGCTGATATGAATGATGGCACATCTACACTTGCCACTTATTGATGTGCTTATCAAGCTCAAGGTACCAATACAGATTGAGGAAGACTATAAGCAATTCAGCGCTGATTCAATAGTGAAATAGAAAACACGCCTGACTAGAACACAACACATCGCAGACACACCTAAAGAGGGCATTCATCGACCCCATGTCCGCAGTGCACAGGGCAGCTTTAAATATGTAATTTTCCTCATTGAGTCTGCAATGGAAGCGGGAGAGCGCCAAGACATGTCGTGAAAGGTAGGAGCCAACAAGAACGTGTCAAAAAGGAGCATGAAAAATACGTGAAATGAGATCAAGTCAGCATGTCTTAATTGAAAAACCATGATACGAATTTCAGTCCATTAACGTGACAGGCGATACCTCCCAATGAGATATATGTCACTCGTAAACTTAAAAATGATCGACCAGGAGACACTAGCATGCGACCGTATACAGACAATACCTCACAGAGGCCTCCCCCGTCCCGAGCTGCGTAAAGCTCAGGTCATTCTTCCCAAAGGTGCCCCCAAGTCCACTGGAAAACTGTGCATTCACACTCTGAAATACGCAATGAGGTTTTGCTTAATACGTAGTGAATGCAGTACCAAGTTCGAATTCACCTAGGC